CCTTGCGTAAAATATCTGTTGGATTGTAGAACAGATGTTCTTCTGAATCAGGTGATAACCAGTTATAAAGTCTAACAGGATGTTACTTTCACATATACTCTATTTAAGTTATTTAAACGAAGGACAAAAGAGTTACGAAAAAAGAACATATAGAATCTTTGAAGGTAATACTTTTCTATAAATTGTTTTTTTTTCTTTTTTTTTTTTTTCTAAAGTAAAATATTTCTATAAATTTTTATAGCACATAATTTCTGATATTACATGATTATTCGACTTATCTTTAATCTGGCGAGCATTGTTTGAAATAAGAGACGATAAAAAAAGAAAAAAGGAAGAAAGACAAATTTGCAAAAAAAAAATAGGGGGTGGTCGTTGAAGAATGAAAATGGGCTCTTAGGCTTTTAACAAATTACGATTATATGAATAATAACGATGATAATTATGATGATCAAAATAATAATAATAATAATAATAATAATAATAATAATATATTCATAAAAATAACATAATAATAATGATAATATAAATGTAATAGTAATAATAATAATAATAATAATAATAATGACTTTAGCAATAATTAAAAATAATTACTAGCGCACTTATGTGTATATGTTTATGTGTTTCTTTGGATTCATCGTAAAATTATTTTTTTTTTCTATGTCGATTAATCAAATCAATTACTTACATAAGAAATTTTTTAAACAATGATCATATCATTCTCTATTGACTCGGAATAAATATTTTTATTCAATGAAAATACAAAATATTCTTTTGATATTTATCGTATAAAAGTTCGTATATTTCAATGCGATTTGATATACACTTTGATGTAGCCTTTTTGAATGAATGTGTTAGTAACAATACTATATCGTGTTATTTATATACTCAATTACATATATGCGTTCATAGGTATACTAACAGTATAGAAGCGCAACTTTCAAAATGCATTATATCGCCTACGGGCATACAAGCGATTTAAAGCGACTTCATTTCCTTTTGCCAACGTCGATTTTATTCGTTCATGCGTATATATACCAACACATATATATATATATGTGTGTGTGCGTATGTGTGTGTGTGTTTGTATGTCTATATAGAAAAATGTCGAATAAAGGAACCCTCCTTCAAGTTTTGCCTCTTACCTCTCAACTTGCTTTTGCTCTCTCGTATATTGGAAGGAACGGTCACTATATAGATGTACATAAGTAACGTTCTACCAACTTAACAGGGTAAATCATGGATACCAGAAAGAACATTGAACCTTTATTGTTCTCTCTTTTTCTTTTTTTCTTTTCTTTTTTTTCTTCTCTTCTCTCTTCCTCTCTCTCTCACTCTCTCTCACTCTCTCTTTTTCTTTCTTTCTTTCTTTCTTTTTCTTTTTGTCCGATCTATATATACCATTATGTACACAGGATGAATCATGTGTGTGTGTGTGTGTGTGTAACTCGTTTGACTGAAGTAGTATTTTATTTTTTTTTTTTGAAGAAGAAATAAAAAAATCAAGAAATTTTTACGATGCAATATTAAATGAGAAAAATATTATGATAAATTGAAAGATAATAAAAGCAATTCTTTTTTTTTTTTCTTTTTTTGCTAACGAACGAATTTATTAAGACATTAAAAAAAATAATGAAATCAACATTTATTCAGAAATTTAAAAAATAATGAAATCTTGTATGTCACAGTATATATGTATCAGAAATATGTTAAGAGAAATTGAAAGATAATAGAGGAAAATTGTTCTTGCAATTGATTATATTTATTAAGAAATAAAAAAAAGAAAAGAAAACAAAAAAAAAGGAATTTTTTTTTCGTTGAGAAAATTTAATAAGTGATCACGAAATAAAGAGATTTGTTATAATTAATAAGAAATTAAAAAAAAAAAATAATAATAATAATAAATAAATAAATAAATAAAAGAGAGAAAAGAAATTATTATAATGAAGAACATTTAATAAGAAATTAAATGATAAAGAAATTTGTCATTATAAAGATAATTTAATAAAAGGATAAAACAAAGTAAAGGAATTATTATAATTTAAAAAAAGAAGAAAAAATCTATAATTAGAAATAAGAAAAAAAAGAAATATAAAATTTAAACAAATTGTTTGGATATATTTATAAACGCATCGCATCATATTTCTGTGATAAAAATATATTTACATGTGTATAAAATATATATTAATAAATATTATATATTTTATATAATAATAAATATAATACATATTATAATGTATATTATATATTAATATATATTATAAATATATATATATATATTTTTTTTTTGTTATGAAAAAAAATGAAAATTCGTGAGACTACGATCTCGCAAAATGATATATAAATATTATTATATCAAAGTTATTATTATAAAAACACAGACTTGATAAGAGAAAAGTAAACCAATGATCTTTTGGCAAAACTTTACCTTAGATATTAATGTACGACTTATTAAACTTTCATGTTAGAGCGAAAGAACAATCTCATTCGCACGAATAATATATTTATTTAGATTTCTATTCCATTATTAATCTCACCATTCTAAAGATTATTTTTATTATGAATTTTCATTTATATAATATGGCAATTAAAAAACAATTAATCGTTGTTTAATTAACCTTGTTATTTCTACTCGAGAAAATGTTTATGTGAAAAGGGGATGGGGTGGTGGTATAATTTACGATGTACAAAGCAAGGAGATACGAAATTAATTAGAAACATCTTTGTAATTGTAATTAACGTAGAAAGAAACAAATTAACATTATTTCTATCATATTAATTATTATTAATTGTTAATAATAACGAAATATCGTTTGACCTTTCATTGAAAATTTTTAAAGGCTATGATTTATCAATTACATTGATTTTATGAATAAAGAAAAGGACTTTACAATTACATCTAACTTTTCTTTTTTTTTTTTCGTTTTTTTTTCCAACCTTGCAAACGTTAACACATAAATATTTACGCATTAGATTCGATCAATAAATAAAATGTACGTGATGTATATTTATTAGAAATGTGCATATGTGCATTTAAACGAATATTATATCATATAGATGCATAAATCCCCAATACCATACTGCTGTTATTATATCAGTATCATTTATTTATATATCATCGTTAGTTTTTATTTAAATATAAAAAATATTGAAAATTATATTATTACTTATTGATCAGATCAATATCATATTATTTAAATATCATTCTTGTTTTATTTAAATATTACGTTTATTAAATATTTTATTAAACAACATAAACTTCAGCATTACTCATTGTCCAATTTTTATAATTTTTTATGGCCTATTTAAAATTTTTTTATAATAGTGTTGTTCACTCATAAACATTCTTGTTATTTTATTTAAATATAAAATATTAAAAAGTTCGATATTATTTATTGGCCAATCTATTATTTTATTATAATTCATTATAACATTAGTTATTTAAGTACTATAAAAAAAAAAAAAAAAAAAATACTAAAAATCCTAACATTACTCAATGGCCAATCACTATTATCGTACTACAGATTCATACAATAGTTTCGTTTACTATTAAATATTTGTATTATTTTATTTAAAAGGAAAATGTTAGAAATGTCGACATTACTCTTTACGAGGAACTTAATAAATTTGGAAGAGTATAGAAACGTACGGTTTTCGTCATTTGACATTTCTCTTTCTTTCCTTAACACATTTCAGAGACTAGCTAAGCGAGAGATAGCAAATAGCACGACTGCATTGTCGGATTTCGCATTCTTGCGACGTAACGACATTTGCATTGAAATTATTGCACCCGAGCGTGAATCGCTTTTCGCATTCGAAATTACCAAAAGGATGAGATAAAGACAAAAAGACGAAAGAAAGAGACAAACGTAAAAACATAAACATACATAAGTATGGATAATCTTTAATCGTATATCAGAATAATAATTTTTTAAGAGAAATCTTGTTAAAGATTTATTAACGTTTAAAGAAAAAATTAATATTATTATTATTATTATTATTATTATTATTATTATTATTATTATTATTATTATTATTATTATTATTATTATTATATAAATGTTATTATTTAATTTCAAATAGATTTTTAATTATAATTAATTATGTTATAAATAAAGTAATATTTTTAATTAAAATAAAAATTCACTTTTATAATTTATATTTATATATAATTATTATAATTATATTACAATAATAAATAATTATATTGCAGAAAATTATAATTTAATAATTTAATAAATTAATAATGTAACAAATTAAATTATATTTTGTTTTATCGTAAATGATTTAGGATTGAATAGTGTTTTTATTGATTAAATAAAAAATTAACATTGTATTATTTAATAATGTAATTTAATTTTACATAAATGTATAAAGTATTATTGTTATTTATTCATTTTGTTCGTTTAAATGAGAGAAATAGTTTGAGTTATGGGATTGAAATAATGTAAATTATTTGATGGTATTTCAAAGATCAAAAAAATTGAAATGAAATATTTAACATGGGAATTTTTCAATCTCTTAAAAAAAAAAAAAAAAAGAAAAAAAGAAAAAAAATGTATCACTAATTTATTTGTTAAAGATAATATTAAGTTAATAACGTAATTATTTTAATATTGATTAATAATTATTACTTATAAGATTTATACGATCATAGAATTAATATTAATAACAAATAATCAATATTAATTCAAATATATATTTATTTTAATTAAATATTTAAGAAATCGTATGTATTTGATTATTATATAACTATTATAGTTATTATTATAATTATTTATTATTAAACGATATACAACAATTCAATTTGCTTTGAGAGATTTTGTCAGATTTATAATATATCCTGAGAATTATAAAATTAATTGATTTTTATTTGGAAAATTAAAAAGAAATTCGCAATATTTTTTATTGTAAATTTTTTTTCTTTTTTTTTTCTTTTTTTTTTTTTTTTTTTTTTTTGTAATTATTCACGTTATCGTTATTAATTAAAAATATATACTTACGTTCTCATTGGTCGTCGATAACTGCCTTTTCGTTCTACCATGATATACTTGTGGTTTGATTAATGTGTGTCTGCTGAACTCTGGAGATGGTCCTATAACAGATAAAACAAATAATTCATTTTTATTTTTAAATTCATCATGGATATCCATGATATCCAGAATTTACAAATTCTTCCCACATCCCATCGAATATTAATAACGTATTGATAATAAACAATAATAAACAATAATAAAGTTAGATTATATAATCATCTTGATAAATATAATTTCAAAAATTGACAAATTTTAAGATTAATACGACAATAATAATAATCATCGTATTATTTATAATAACAAAGGAAAAACAAATAATTTTGAAAATATATAAAATAATAATAATAATAAAAATAATAATAATAAAATAATTATGTATATAGGAATGGTCTTATCGCAAATAATTTCAAAATTTTTTTCAAAAAGAATAATGATAAGCATCAGATTATTAATATCAATTGATATAAATAAATAATAATAATAAAATAATTATGTATACAAGATGATTATTAATTTAAAGATCAATTGAATATCTCGTTTGTTAAAAGTAATAGAAATCTAATTAATTAAAAATCCATTAAACTTTAGATTTATCCGGAATAATATCTTATTTTGTAATTCTTTAAAATATTTTACATATGAAAAAATCTTATATATAATATATATATATATTTTATTACTTCTAACAAAGCAGATATTAAATTTGTTCTTAATTTATAATTAATCTGCGTAACAATAATTTCTGTCTCAAACAATTAAAAAAATTTTATTAAATAAATACAAAATAATAATAATAATAATAATAATAATAATAATAATAATAATAATAATAATAATAATAATAATAATAATAATAGTTCTGTAACAAAAAAAAAAAATATGACAATAACCATTCAGTTGGAAATAATGTCGCGATTTATTAATCCCTTAAATTCAAACATTCTAGGGACATTAAACTAGTTTAAAATTAAGAGTAGTAACAATGAACTAGGTCGCCGTTATAGCTTTGATTGGCTCTTTAGTATGAGTCGTTTATAATACAAGTGTACTCGTACGAACCAGACGAACTAAATACATGTATAGTATGATGCTCGTGCATGTGACGTTTTTATAGCAATAAGATTGACGTCAATGGTGGCGATGAGAAAAAGAAAAGAAAAGAAAAGAAAAAGAAAAAGAAAAAGAAAGAAAAGTAGAAGATCATAGTGAAAAACTTGTTATATGTATACATTCGTATGCCGTACCGGAAAGGAGGAGTCATTGACCATGGAGTCACGAAATGAAGGACGAATTGTAATTAAGGATAATTATTTTAAGTGAGTTTAAATACACGTCTGAAGCCTCCAGACATTTCATTGGCAATTTCTTTTTTTTTTACCTTTTTTATTTCATTTCCTCTTTTTTTTTTTTTTTTCTTTTACGATCTCGAATCCTCCAATAATTTACAAAAATTATGACACTTTGTGGATCATACACAGACATAGTGAATTTGTCTCGGGAGTAAAAATATTTTAATATTTTTTCGCTGCTTGTGTTGTTTTTCTTCTTTTTTTCTATCTCCAAAGCTGTCACACCAGATAAATATAAGATCATTGTATAGATTATTATAATAAAATTTGTGCCTATTGTAAAGGAAAAAGGAGGGGAAAAAAAAAGAAAAAGAAAAAGAAAAAGAAAAAAGAAGGAAAAGAAAAGAAAATTTTTGTAAATTAATACTTTTTACAAAATAAAATTTTCTTGGGACAAGCATTCTAATATTTTTTCTTTCTTTTTAAACTAAAATATTTTTCGAAAAGTACTTTAAAACTAAAACTTTACGAACTACAATCTTTGTTAAACAAATATTATTTAGTAAAATTTTTCTAGACTAAAATATTTGAAAAAGGAAGTATTTGTTGTTCTTTTAAAATTATGAAAAGTAATAATCGAAACAAATTCAAAATTTTTTTTTTTAATTTTGAAATTATTTGTATATATACATATATATATAGACAATGTTTCTTTCATACAAAATGCAATGCATTTTTGGTTATTATTATTTTTTTAATTTAAAGAGATAAAAAATAAATATTTTTGTAGATCTCGACATTTTTTTGTTCTGTTTTTAATGTATTATCTACATTTTTAAAAAAACCGAAAAGATAAATACCGAAAAACTTCTTTAGATAAATATTTGTCAACTTTAATCCAATCTATCATGTCTTTTTTTTTTTTTTTTTTTTTTTTTTTTTTTTTTTTTTTTTTTTTTTTAATGAAAACTTTCATATGTGTTTAAGCAATTAATTAATTTCGTGAACCATTATTTGCAAAATATATTTCTTTATTCTTTCTCTTTATTTCTATTTCAAAGATTACATTAAATTAAAATTCATTGAATGTAAATACTTTTTACTTATTATTATGCACTTATTTATATATATATATATATACACGTGTGTGTGTGTGTGTATTATTATATACTTGGGAATATACGATACACGATGACACAATAAATTATTTAAACGAACAACCATAAAAAGAAATAACGTTTTACACGAAAAAAACATTCCCCGTATGTCCATAAAGTTTCATATTACCTTTTTTATTATCCCACACACACACACACACACACACACATATACATTTTTTATATTTTTTTTTGCACTCATGACATTTTCTTTTGTTGTTATTAGTAAATAAAAAGTTATATGTTTTTCTCTCCTCTTCAGTTATTCTATTGATTCTTACAATAATTATCGATTTCTTTTGTACATAATCATTGTAAACGACGACAATGTTAACTCCCCCGAGCAATTTCGATTAAATTAAATGAATTAAGGATCGAATTAGAAATTGAAACTCGTTAAAAAATAAAAGGGGACAATTAATAATAAATAAATATAAAATTCTTTAGTAAAAATATTTTAATGCGAATCAATTGTAGTAACATGTCACGAATGTCCTGGAAGACAAAAAAAAAAAAAAAAAAAAAAAAAAAGGAAAGAAAAAATATATTGTATATATTATAACGCGACAAATATAATAAAACTTGGCATTAAAATTGAAAGAGAGGAAAAAAAACTTGTTTATATGAACCCTCAATAATAATAATAATAATAACATTAAATATTTACTAAGGATTAAAAAAAAAAAAAAAAAATCCGATACAACCTATTGCGTATTAAATACACGAATTTTTTTTTTTTAATATTTTTTTAATTTTTAAATTATTATCTAATGATATATAATTAATCTTAATTTGATATATGAAATTATTATCCAATGATACGTAAAAAAAGAAAAAAAAAAAAAAGAAAAAAAAAAGGAAAAATAGATCTAAAATTTGTATTAAAAAATTTTACGAAATCTAAATAGATATAAGATCGAATTGATTTTTTTATTTTGCATTAAATTAACTGAAATCAAATTGAATATACGAGATTCTATAGTATATGCAATTTCTGATTCTTAGCATATCCTTGTCCCAACATGCTGTCCTCTTAGCATACGACTATTTGGTCTGCAAACGCACCGGATGTTCTCGCCCTCCGCCCTCCGCCCTCCGCCCTCCGTCCTCTGCTTTTCGTCATCCGAATATTCGAATACATTATGTTCTCATCGTGTATGTGTACCCTCGGTAAATATCCCACATAATGCAGTCACAGTTTCCACGGTTTTCATTAAATTTAAATAACCTTTATATTTTTCTTTTTCTTTTTTTTTTTTCTCTATGCCAATACAAAGTACTTAACAACACGTTTTTGAGCACGTTATAAATTACGTTATCTTTATTCAAAGGAGAACAAAAATTTTTTTCTTTAAATAATAAAAAGAGAGATCAATTTTATCTTCGTTCTTCCGCGCGCACATTAATTTGTAATTATAATTTACAAAAGTCGATTATTAATTAAACTATATATTTCATTATTTTCATTCGTATTCTCGTCGTACAATTTTATATTCCAAAAAAAAAAAAAAAAAAAAAAAAAAAAAAAAAAAAAAAAAAAAAAAAAAAAAAAAAAAAAAAAAAAAAAAAAAAAAAAAAAAAAAGAGAGAAGATGGAAATAGATAATGTATCATCTTTTTTCTTCTTTTTTCTTTTCTTGTTTCTTTATTCTTTTGTTTTATTCGAAACAGAATCCACAATCGACGATGTATAATTTTTTTTTATCAAACGTATAGTCGAAACTTCAATCAAATTCACGGCACGCGTGGGTGTCTCGAGAAGATAATTTTCTCTCTCTCCCTCTCTCTCTCTCTTTCTCAACCACCGAAAAAAAAAAAGAAAGAAAAAGAAAAAAGCTATTCCGTGTACTTTACACAAGCATAATCAAGAAACCATCAAATATTAATCATTTTCACTTATTGAATATTTTCTTTATTTATTTGTCTTTAAACCTTTAACATTAAAAACTCATTTAAAAGGGACGATTTTTTGACAAAATTTTCCATAAGTGCATAACTTTCATTATAGGGAAGCCGATAAGGAAAATATGACGAAAAGAAAAAAAAAAAAAAAATAAAAAATAAAAGAAAAAAAAAAGGAAAAGAAAAGTAAATAAAACAACGATAACGATAGAAACCACAGGACTTCCGGTTCTCTTAGGACCATCTTACTTCGAATGACGTCAGACTATAGAAAGAACGTGCTAGGAAATCTCAATCTATGTGTATATATATATATATATACATATATATATATATATATATATATATATATATATGTATATATTAGATTATGTACGATGACTATACCAGAATAATTCTAATGGACATTTCTTGGAGGAACGGAAGTCACAGAAAGGAAACAATGGTTTCTTCTCGAAGAAAGAAAACAAAATTGATTTTTTCTTTTCTTTTTTTTTTTCCCTTTCTTTTTTTAACCCTTCCCTCGATGCATACAAGCGCATACACACACACACACACACACTTACACCAGTCAATTGATCTGCATAAAAGTAAAAAATTGTATTTTTATTCGAGAAAAAGAAAAAGAACATTTTCAATGAGAATCGAGTTATTATTTCGAGCTAAAGTACGTAAATAATTTCTTTTTCCAAAATTTCCTGACGAAAGGGAA